CCTGGCCTCTCTGCTTCTCCCTGAGCCCAGAAGTTCCTCTCACCTCTGGCAAGAGCGTGACTTCTAATTTTGCCTGAATTTTCGAAAGCATTCACTACTCTTTCTTCTATGACTGCTCAAGAAAAGAGCCACCCCCTCAATCCAAATAGAGAATCGTGAAATTTTCCAAAATGAGGGTTTTTAGCTTAAGCTCCTGAATTTGGACAATTGCCTAGAAAGCCTTTAATTTGTTTAAAATAACCAAAAGAAAAGCTTTAAGCATCAAGATCTTTTTCATTCTAAGGAAAAAAGAAAAAAAAAACAGAGGCAAAGAACTCAGGGTGAAGCAGCACTAGAGTTGGGCTATGCCTGAGGGAACGTAATCCATCAGCAGAGACAACGTAATTCACACTACCTGCTTCGTAGCAAGGGTGTCATTGAGGCTTACAAACTCTGGAGGATGCTATTCATTTGTCTTTAAAGCCACAACACTATTGAAGGACTCATTTTGCCCAGTTTTACTGGATACAAATACTACGATTCCTCTCTTTGAGAGTGTGAGCTGACTCCTTTTGCCTTAGTCCCCAGTTCCTCCCGCAGCCATCTTGTTTGTCCCCAAAGGCCAGTACTCATTCTGGAAATAAGTTCCCCTTCCTGAAGTTAACAGACCCAACATGCTAGCAATGAAGCACGTAACATTCCCCACAGTTGAACAGTGAGGAGGTGGTTGATGGCAACTGGGGACATCTTTTAGAGAAGTCACAGACGGCACTTGTTCACTGATGCCCTCACATGGAATGCAACCATCAAATAATCATAGCATGCTCCCCTCTGCGTTTCAGGTTATAAAATTCCCAGCACAGAGTAGATAGTTGATATTCAGTGCCTAAGTAGGACGGCTAGCTTCCAGGAACCTCCCCTTATCTAATCGGGTCATATACACAGGCCATACCTATACAGTCTGGGGAGTTTCCTGGAATGAGTAGGAAGGGGTAGCATCAAAGCATAAACAAGGAAGTAACTGTGTCCAAGGAGTTAAGAAAGGACCCACAGAAAAGCTGTGGCATGTAGTTTTAAAGAGTGAACAGGTAGGTATTCTCTGAAAAGGAGCCTGGAAGAAATACACCCAAGGTCATGTGTGGGCTTGCAAGTCGGGGAGATAAGGTGGAGGCCTGGGGACCTGTGGCTCTGGGAAATGTTGACCGTGGCTGGGATCCAGAGGATGTCCAGTTGAGAGTGGCTAAGTGACACCTGGGAAGATCAACAGTTGCAAGGTGCTGACAGATAAGGAAGAGAGATTTTTTTTTTTTTAAATAGATGACAGGGTTTGATCTGGTGCAGTTGGGGTGTAAGGCTTCCCTGCTGAAAGGCAAATCTACCCCGAAAAGTGCCTCTTGATAAAAGAGAACTCAGATGAAAGTTACAGCAGTGTCCCCTGAGATCAATGTAGACAAGGGTGCTTCTCCAGGCCTGAGATGGGTAGATACTCTGTCAGTTCGACTGGACTGAGAAATGGCTAGATAAGGAAGGCAGATCTCTCGGTGAGCTGCGGGGGCATTTCTAAGGACATTAAGATCTGGGGGCTTCTGTCCTCAGCCTGAATAGACCCAGTAGTGGATTAAGAATTTAAATAGGCAGTAGAGCGGTGCTAGGGCCTGGATAGAAGAAGTGGGTAGCTGAAGCACTTCCCCAGGGGAGGGCTACGTCTTGCCCTGTGTTCCCTTTATTGCCTGTCCCACTCTGCTTACTGCCCAGCATGATGTCTGGGAGCCTGGCTACCATTCACTCTCATCTCAGGGTGGAGGGTGGGTGGAGACTAAGGTAGGATTGGTCTTCAGTAGGATTGGTCCTTTCTGAGTTCCTCTCCAGTGGAACTAGTGAGCAACTAACACATTCTACACATGCTTCCTCTGCCCTGTTAGAGAGCTACTCATCCATTCAGGGGAAAGGTGATGTGTTCTACATGACTAGCTTGTGATCCACCAAGGCTCTTGCCCTCACTGCCTAAGGGATGTAACTCTTCTCACCACAAAGTAACAAGACTTCTGAAATAGCCAAACAAGCCCTTGCTCCTTTAGGTTGCTTATTACCCCTTAATCACAGCAACAGAGAAGCAATTAACACAGTGACCCAGTAACTATGACTGCACAACAAATTTGAAAACATAGGGACAGTGCCTCCTTTGAATTAGTTCTTTCCTATGTCTTACTGTTAAATTTTCCCACATCGGTAAAATAATGGTGACAAGAACATATCTTTTCATATGTTTTTATGTGTATGTCCCATTAAAACTTGGCAACTGTTTGTAGCCCCCTTATTTCGGCTTAATCGTGTTCTTTCAGTAAACGCTTGGGGTGGTGAGTCCAGAGACAGCATTTACAAATAAAAAAAGAGAGACCTTGAGGCTAGCCCATAGAGAGTGAAGATGAGTTCGCTGTCATTTGTACAAACTGAACGTGTGCTCGAAAAGAATATTTCATATGCAGGGAGCAGCGAAGTGTACTTGGAGAGTTTAGTGATTTTTTTTTACAATATCACTTATAATTGGAGGTAGGAAGGCTTGTGCTGAGCTGAGCAGTACAATACTTTGTGACTCGGTGGAGAACTAGAGCCAGCAGAAGGTGTCATGTGTCTACTTCAGAATTTTGATTCTCTGCAAATTCAGACAGTGCATGATTAATCATGATTAATTGTATTTTACTTACTAGTTCTTTATGGATATTTCTATCCTGGGAATCATTCAAGCCTGTGGATAAAATTTTTCATCAATTTTTTAAATGTTCTGCCCCCCCCCAATCCACTGCCTTCATCTCTTTATTCAAAAACTTTTTCGTTTAAAAACATGGGAAAGGGTGCCTTCTAACTCCTTTTAGTCTTTCTAAGGACTCTATGTCTTATTTACAATTAAACTGTCAGGTACTTAGACTGAATCACCTAAACTTTCTTCCTTTCTTGGCGAGTTGTATATTTGTATATCAAGCAAAGTAGTGCTTATGTAAGTCAGATGTCTTTATGTAAATCACAAAGGTGCGGGCCAGGGATCTGCAAGTAATAACTAGATTGTATTTATTGACTACCGCTTTCTTTAGGTATATTACTGAGTACATCCTTTTTGGTGTGATCCAGTACTTACTTACTAAGACAGGATCTCATTATGTAGCCCAGGCTGGCCTAAACTTGCTATGTAGTCAGACTGGCTTAGAGTTAGCAATCCTGCTCCCTCAGCCTCCCATGCCCTAGGGTTACAGGCATGCACCTTGGCTATCCACTTAAAATGCCACCTGATTCCAAATTTGACACTCAGCATACATGGCCTGATAAAACATTTCACATCTAGCAGTTAGGGCTTCTCCAGAACTACAGTTCCGTAGACCATACTGAAAATGCCCAGGCCTGGTTTAGTACAGCTGAGCTGGGCCCAGGACTCTGCATTTTCACAAGCAATCCCGTATATGTTCACACACATGCAAATGTAAATGTCACTTTCTCTACACTTTTCCTCTTTGTGCTAAGAGCTTAGCACTTGTATATACCAAATACAGAATAGTAAAGAGGCTGAGACCCAAGATCAGAGTAGTTGGCCTTCAAGAAGTTCTTTTCTCTTGATTCTAGCCAGAGGCAGGGGATTAACTGCTTTTTTCCCCCTTGCCTTTTCTGAAAGGCAAACTTTATACTTAGACAAATTTCTCTCTGAAAATAGTTTCAAAGCCAATGTGTATGATGTCGGCAGAGCAGTGAGAGGAACGGAAGAAAGGGAAGCTGTCTATTAGGGGATACATTTGCCATAAAAATTTTAAATAAAACAGTACATGAAGTTTGTGAAAGCTCGGTGTAAACTGAGTTTGGAGATCATAGTCTGAGTGCATTCTCAGCTAAGACGGAGTCGGGTAGACACAATAATACAATTTGCTACCAGACCGTTTGATTGGAAATAAATGAAAGGATTTTTAATATACTTTCAGACTGTGTTTTTCCTGTTTTCCTCTGCTTTTGAAGTCCATTGAATTCTTAATGTTGATTTTCTACTTTTTTTGTTTTAAAAATCCAGTCCACTAAAGTCTACAAAGCTGTTTCTGCCCAAGGCTAAGTCTGTTCTAGGTGAGCTAATCAATCAATTTCAACCCATTAGGAAAGCGCACTCAAATAAAAAGAATCCTAACCTTTTGATGGATTTGCTCCATGTTTGCTCAACACATATTTTTTTTTCTAATTGGCAAAATACCAAAAAGAGAAGCAACCTTACATTTTAGGAAAAGGAAACCATTCAGGTCCCTGAGAACCGTGCGGTGTCCAGGGAAAATGTTTCTCAGATCTGGAACTATCGATCAAGCATCGCCTTCTTTGGTGGTGATGGCGTTATTTTTAATTAAATCTTTCTAACCCAAGTTGAAATGCACCCATATTTGGGTTGCAGAGGAAATGCTTCTGAAAAGCAAACTGGGAAGAAGACACGGTGTTTGGCTGAACTGAACATCGACCTCTGCAGACACGTTTGCACTGAGCTTTTCAAAAACTTTTCTTCAGACTCGGGCCTATGAAATGGTGCAGTCACAGGATGTGACCCATCTGAGTCCCTTGGGCTGTGACGTGATCAACCTCGCCTTACTGTAAACCAGACAGCTGTGTAGAGAAGAGGACATGATAGATGCTACATTTTGTGGACAGGGTCCTAACACGGAGGAATGTTTTTCTCTCTGACCTGTGAAGAGTGGTAGGATACAGTCTAAGACAGAGCTGACAGGCGATCATCAAGCTGTCAGAGGTTTTTGTTTTGCCTCCAAATGCTGTTTCACAACTCCAGAGCCTAGACTGGCATGGGATTTGCTCAGTCTCTTGGTGCATGTCTCCCTGTCACCCCCGACGGTTCCTTAACAATGGTTGATTAAGTAGAGGAAGTAGCTGTTTCACTAAATTATGAGGAAAAAAAAAAACTATATTTGCTTTAATTCAATTCTGTTGCTTCAAAGGTCAGAAGTAATAAAACATTAATGCATGTATTTGTCTTTTTTCTTTTTTTTTAGGTTCTGCCAAGACAGAATAATCTCCAAGGTATGAGACAGTATACTATTCCCCAATTGGTTGGCTAAATTCAGAATAAGAGTTGTCTTTAGATGTATCTTATTTTTCTGTTGGTGGTTAAGTGTGACACTCAAATGGTATCCCGAAGTGGGTATTGCTTTGCTGGTGATAATGGTGGATAGAGCATCCTACAAATATAATATGGCCAAATGAGACCAGAAGGGAGAGAGGGGCAGAGGAAGGGGGAAAAGGATAGAGAGGGAGGCTTTCTTGCTTGATTAGCTCTTTTATGAGACAGCAGACTTTTTGTCTCTGATATTCAAAGACAGAAGACAGCTTCTTTGTGAGCCAATGTGGCAGGGCCCCACACCTCCACTGAAGCCTATTTTGGAAGAACTAAAAAGGAGAAGCCCTCCCTCATAGTCCTGACTCCTCAGCTGCATGAGGCCTCCTGTCCAACTCTGCAGGACCACAGTAGGCAAGTTGTTTAACTTCCCGAGGTCTCCGCAAGAACACGCTGTTGCGGATGTACTAACCATGTTACAGAACACAATAGGGACCCCGTTTGATTCCACTCGAGGACTTGGGTGGAGGGGATGTGCACCATCTGGTTTGTGAAGGCAGGAACTTGGTTTTTTTCAAGAGGGCACACATCCAAGTTCTGTTTAATGCACATCACAAGGAAGAAGCAGAAGCAGCTTTGTTTATGATGAGAGCGGTGCTGAAGCTAATAAGATGGGGTATGTTTCCAATGTGCAACGTTTCTCTGAAGCTACGTGTGTTTTCACTACATTTGGCCGCCTTGCCTTATTTGGAGGCTGGGCTTCCAGTTGAAAAATTTAAAGCTCTCCATGTGTTAATTGGAAAATAGAGGCGTCTTTGCCGTAGAGCATCTGGCTTCCTAGGTATTAATTACGGCTCCGTCTACAAAGAGAGACTAGTATTTTTAATGTCTTCTCTTATTCACCATGTTACTTTTCGAAACTGTTAGGTTTGCAGATCACAGAAAAGAAATCATAAGCTTAACTCGACTAGATATTGGGTGCTTTTTAAAAGTATCTTTGTGCTACCTGTGGCAATGGCTGCTTGTACTCAAAATCGCTTTTTTAACCATTTTTTTATCCTTTGAAATTCTCATACAGTGTATATTTAGCACATTCTTTTCCATTCCACCAACTCTTCTCAAGCCCTCCCTACCCACCTGACTTCACTTTCTTTCTTTCTCTTTAAAAGTAAAATTTAAAAAGGAAAAATGAAAAAAAAAGTTATACACACACACATACACAACCCAAACAAACAGAGGAAAACATGGAGTCAACTCTGTTCCGACCAACCACTCCTGAACATGAGGCCTGCCCTGGAGTAGATATTGCCCGTGTCATACCAGTGAAAAAAAAGAGAAACAGAAAAATAGTAAAACATCTTTTAGTGAAAGTCACAGTTTATAACAATAAACAGCAGTGCAATAGAAAGAACCTGACTGGCTTCCTATTTGCTAGTCATCATTGAATCCTTAAAAAAAAAAAAGTTTTTATTTAAATAATAACAGAAACAGAGGCCTAGAACATAGCCATTTCAACAGTAGTACAGAGCTAACTAGGGCTACGTGGGAGTCAGAAAACCTGCTACCAAGGAATACTTCCTTGGACTTCCTACAGACATTTTTAACTCTTCCATAGTAGCAAACATGACTTGGGAAGCTATGATGCCCCACAGTAACTGATCCTTCTGTATGTGTTCCACAAGTCAAGCTAGCACTGGTGCAGGAAACATTGTCACACGATACACAATCTCATTGAAGGTAATTACAGCCGTCACCATCAATCCAATTAAACAGGGTAACCAACTCTAGGGAGCCGAAAGCAGCATTTGCTCTCTGACTAAATCCAGGATCGCAGAGAAGGGTATGAGTGTGGATTTTAAGGATTTTCATGGTTTGAAATTCTTCCGTTCACAAAACAGATAATATTGAGAAAATAGGTGAGTGGAAAGAGATCAAATAATTGCAGACTTTTATGTTTTGCATTTAATGGTCAACTTCTCATTTCTAACCAATGGGCTCTTTTGCTGTTAAGCACACTGGCTCTTGTCTCCTCTTCAATCTTAAAGTTCCCCCTTGCCACTGAAAGGAGGTTCCTAAAGCGCATTTCATTCTCTAGGTTATGACTTCTGTTTCCCTGAGTGCCGATGAGTCTGCAGGCTGTGGCTGTCAGACCCTTTGTTGCTGTAGCAAATACCCAAGAGAGACAACCTAAGCAAAAAAAATGTTCATTTCTGTCTCATAGTTTTAGATCATTAGTGCATGACAGTTCACATTAAGGTGTCCAGAAGAGAGAGAGCGAAAGAGAGAGGGAAAGACAGAGACAGAGGCAGACAGAGAGAGAGAGGCTGCTCTTAATGTGTGTCTGTGTGTATATGATTGGAACTTTCTCCTTCCCATGGTGTCTCAGCCTATGCGATGGTGCCCTCTTAGTCACTCTGCCCTGGGAACCCCTGTAGTGTTAAACAGGACTGTGTTTTAAATTATCTCTTAGTTTTGTCCCAATCTCATCAGGTTAACAATTGAAGTTAACCACCATAGCCAAGTTGCTCTCATTTTTTCTGTTGTTGTTTTTTTTTTTTTTTTCCTTAACTTTTAAAGAAAGACGTATTATCCATCTGTGCATGTGCCTGCAGATGAGGGTGTCCTAACCCCTGGAGATGGAGTTAGGGGTGGTTGTGAGTCATTCCCTGCAAGAGCAGAGGTCATTGTTAACCATGGGACCGTCCATCTCTCCAGTCCTTTTCTAACGAGACATGCAATCTCTCAAGTGGCTACACCTCTACCTCAGCTTTCACAAAGATACCATTTGCATCCTGGTGTTTTGACAACGTCTGAGACTATGACCATGACCTGGAAGCAGGAGGTGGGTTAAAGAACTCAGTGAAAGCTACATGAAAGGGGGAAGAGAGGAACTGCCATGAAAACTAAGATTAAGTTTTGTATCTGCGTAATAGGATAAAGATCAGGAAGGAAGTTAATTTGCTTTAAAGATGGAGGAGACATTTCCTACACCTCTGTGAGTATAGGCTTCACATGCAGAAGTTTTGCTGAAGTTGCTGCTGCAGAATGTCATTCCTAAAAGGAGTCAGGAATCTATCTGGTCATATAACCTTATGCAGAAATGGAACCTAGAAAGTCTTCAGCTACTTCTTGGAAGCAGAGAGAGAACCTGTCTTCTCCCTTACAGAGAACTAAGCAGAAGTTCTCTAATATCTCCAGTCAAAAGAAGATAATTGCCCCGAGTATACTGGCACTTGGCCCAGGATGAGACTGCGTGCATAGTTGTGAATATTTGGAATTCCATTAATGTGCAACATACACTCAAAAAGTGCCCATGTTTATCTTGAGTTCAGAGGGTGTGGTCTTCAGATCTTTTCTAAAACTCTGATTTTAGAGAGAACTGGATGGATTTGATGATAGGGCCTTTAACAGGCTGCAAGACAATACTGGCTGTAAAATGTGTTCGTTGGGTTTGGGATGTAGTCCGGTGGAGGAAATGTTTGCCCAGCAAGGGCAAAGCCCTGGGTTCAATCCTCAGCAATGGACAGATTTTTTTTTTTAACTGCTGTCTATCACTCACTCTAACATTAAGTAAGTAAGCAGGAGAGAAGTGCATTGCTTCCGAAGGTCAGCAGAAGAAAATCACAGTGCTGTGCAGCCTCAGGAGGGAAATGAAGTGTCCTTGGGGACCTGCCGCTTGATGGAACTAGAGGGAAGACCCTCCACAGTGGCTCACTGTGAAGGCTGGTGACAACAGCTCAATTCCTCACGCATGGACCAGCACACAGGCTACTCAAGTGTCCTCAGAACATGACAACTGCCTTCCCCACAGTATGCGATCTGAGTGAAAGAGAATATAGAAGAGACCGAAAGCAACAAAGAAGGTGTTATGCTCAATCACTCTGTTCTCTGACACCAGCTGGCTGGCTGATTATTTCAATTCTGACGCCAGCTCACCAAGCCAACATAAACTTCAGGGTGAGCAGTCAGACCTCTACGACTAGGCCGGCTTCAGAAGGCACACAGGAAGCACTGAGCTTCAGAGAGTAAATACCATGCCCCTCCCCTCAGCCCGGCTTGTCCCATCAGCAACTTGTCAAAATCACAGAAAGTGTGAAGTGCTTGATTTACTGCTGGGAACAAGTGGAGAGGTGGAAGGTGGTATGAAGGCCAAGGAAGGAGCTCTCCTGTACCTTCCCATTCTACCATCCCCCAACACCGCCAATAAGCATCTACCTGCAACCTCATGAGCCCTCATTGCCCAGGTTTTGTTTAATAGATATTTTGGCACATCAGTATGATTTAATAGATCATTGATCAGCAGTTAGTAATGTAATCTCCAGCTGCTCACTCTTTCTGAAGATTGAAAGTGGGGCTAAAAGTACCAAGCTCTTGACTAACAAGCCAAGTTCTTGCTTGCTGAACTCTAAATCCTTATCACGAGGTTATCTGGGGCATGCTAAAACTTGTCTCATTATGCTGGAGGAAATTTCATTTATGGAGTAAATACTCAGGACCCAATTAGGCTAGAGAAGGGATAAATTCTAACCACAGAGGGCACTCTGGGAAAAAGGGGCAGAATGCTCCCTACGGGCTGAGCAGATGATGATCCTGGTGGAGGGAAAGAGAGTGAAAATAAAGCTATTCTCACGTTAGAGGACATATTTTTTTTTCCTAGAGTTGGCTTCCCTGAGAAGCCAGGAGCTTCCAAGAATCTGTGTCAGGTTCTGGAACAAAACCAAGATATCTCTCTTCTTATTTCATAATGCTATAGTATCTTCAGTGGAATATAACCATCACTTCGGCTGTATCTCGTGGGCACACAGCCTAAGCCTGGCATGTTGAAGGAAGAAGCTACAAAGACATGATACCAAGAAACAGAAGCCTAGAAAGATGGCTCTATCTCTAACAATGAGTTTTCTTCCTTTCTTTTCAAATGTTTCTTCCAAATCTGGTATCCTCCTGAGTAAGGTTTAAACACAATAAA